TATTTGATCAGAAATACAGTAAAAACAGTAATATTGTGAAATATTGTTACTATTTTAAATAACAGTGTTCTGTTTTAAAATATTATTTTAAAAACAGCAGGGCCATTTAAGTGAACTGTAAAAGGCAAAAAAGCTGATAAAAAAATTGTGAAAAAGGAAAAAATATATAAAAATATAAATGTTAATATATAAATAAATATACTTCTTCTTATGCTCACCAAGGCTGCATGTTGACTTCAATGTTAATAACTATTTTCTATTTTAATAGATTTTTTTTTAATTACATTTGCTGAATTTTCAGCAGTCATCATTACTCCGATCTTCAATGTCACATGATCCTTCAGAAATCATTTTAATATGACGATTTGTTGCTTAAGATAAATTTCTTCTTAATATTTTTATGTAAACCATGATAATTTTTTTAGGATTCTTTGATGAATAGAACATTCAAAAGAGCAGCATTTATTTGAAAAATCTTTTGTAACATTATGAATGTTTTACAGTCACTTTTGATTAATTCAATACATCCCAGAAAAATAAAAACATTCATTTATGCGAAAATAATTACAGACCCAAATCTTTTGAACAGTATTTAAAGAGTGTTTGTGCGTAAACCCCTGAGTTAATAGAAAACACACCTTACAAACAAGTTTCATGGTTACCCAGATAGAAAAACCATGACGTTTAGATGACATTACCATGGTACATGTCCAAAACGTTGTTGTTTTTGTCTGTTATGTGCATATATATATATATATATATATATATATAGATAATATTTTGAATAGGAGTCATAATAAAGGTTATGTCGTGTATTGTAGATGTATGTGCTTTGTTTGTGGGTTGCAGCCTGTTCCTGAAGAGCTCCAGAATGGAGCAGGGTTTGGCTATGTCGTTGCTTTCCGGCCCTTTGGTGCCACCGGGTGGATGCAGGCGGCAGTTCCCTCTCCTGAAGCCTCCAAATACGTCTTCAAAAACGAGACCATTTTACCCTTTTCTCCATTCCAAGTCAAAGTGGGGGTGTACAATAACAAGGGGGAAGGACCTTTTGGACCCATGGTCACCATCTACTCTGCTGAGGAGGGTCAGTCACATTAACCGTAGCGTTTGGTTGCGTGCAACAGAGAAATTAATGTCGAATGTACCTTTTGACATTTTGCTGTGGAACGCTTAGCAGGCAGTTAATAGGAGCCAAGTTAACTGAAGTGTGTTGTGCCAGAACCCATTAATCATGGTCTGCCTTGTTTTTCAAAAAGAGTTGGACTTTGAAGACATTTGTTGAATGAAACGGTCTAATCGAAGAATTTCTCCTTCGAATCCAGAGCCTGGAAGGGCACCCAGTCGACTCAGAGCCAAGAGTCTTTCAGCGTTTGACGTTGAGGTGTCCTGGAAGGCCCTTCCCTGGAGCACAAGCAAGAAACGTGTTCTCGGCTACGAGGTACACTAATGTTGCATTCATTTTTTGGTGTTATATCATCATGATTTTTAAAAAACTTTAACATTAAAATCATTATGACCGTTTTTTAGAATGAACATAAATAAAACTTGAAGGAATCACTTACATTATCTTCAAATGTAAATATCGGTTAATTGTTCTAATTACTGAGCTATAAAGAAACAGTTTTTTTTTATTTCCCTTTAAATCTTACAAAATAAATCTGTTGTTGACATAAGTACATAATTAACATTGATTAGCTCATAATGTGGTAAAAAAAAATTGAATAAAAACTGTATTTTACATTTAGTTCAATATATACAATTACACTACTGCTCAAGTGTTTTTAAAGAATGAATAGCTTTATTCAGCAACAGCAAATTAAATTGTTTAAAGGTAGCAGTAAAGACATTTGTAATTTTACAAAGTGTGTGTGTGTGTGTGTGCGCGTTTTTGTGACAAATGAGGACATAAATTTGTATAATGACAAAGGTATGACATAGGTATTACAAGGAGAAGGTGACTTTTCAAGACATTACCCCATGTCCCCACTTTTCAAAACGCTTATAAATCACACAGAATGGAGTGTATTGAAAATCTGAAATAGCACAAAGTCTCCTGTGAGGGGTAGGTTTAGGGGTAGGGTTGGTGTAGGGCAATAGAATATACGGTCTGTACAGTATAAAAACCATTACGCCTATGAGATGTCCCCACTTTTCACAAAAACAAACCTGTGTGTGTGTGTGTGTGTGTGTGTTTTAAAAAAGAGTTACAAAAAAAGTTTACTGAGCAGCAAATAAGCATATTAGAATGATTTCTGAAGGATAATGTGACGTTGAAGACTGAAGCAATGATGCTGAAAATTCAGCTTTGCCATCACACAAAATAAATTACATTTAATTATAATAATATTTCACAAACTTACTATTTTCACTTGCCTTGGTGAATACCGACCTCAAACATTTGAACAATATTAAATATTAATAATAAGTTTGTGAGCGTTAGTAAGTGAGAGAGGTTTTTCTGTGATTCTGTGATTGCAGGATGTCTCTACAGGATTATGGGTAGCGTAGTTCTTAGGTTTGGCAAATAAAAGCCGTTTTGCACATGGCAGAAATATATGTTAATCCTGAAAAAAAAATCTCTATGGAGAAAAACTTACAGAGTACTGTTTATACGGTCTATAAACCTTATAATGCAGGCTTGTTACTTGTTTAGCAACAGAATTTAGTTTGAGGTAAGTCATTTGCAAAAATCATAAATATAAAGCACTGAGACCTTTTGTTCTCTGCAAACAGTTGTGGAAGAAATTCAAATTAGTTTTATATCATCATCTATCTCTGACTCTTCAGCTTAGACTGTCCATTTAGAGGGAAAAGGAAAATCGGTCAACCTGACAGTTGGGAAGCATTGCTCATGATGATTTGCCTATGACAGGTTCATTTCAATACTGCCACACTTCAGTGGCTGAGCAACCAAAGCACCTATAAGCAGATAGCCTGGAATTCAGATATGCCACAAAAAAAATTACAAATGAATTCTTTCTCCCACTAGTTTCAAATGATATTGCTCTGAGTTTATTAAAGTTTAAAGTTGAGCGACTCTGTTTTGTCTTTCTCTGTAGTTGAGATACTGGGAGAAGAATGAGAAAGAAGACACAGCTAGTGTGCTAAGGACAGTAGGAAACCGGACGTTGGCCATTATTCAGGGCTTAAAAGGAAGTACCACCTATTACATAACAGTGAGGGCCTACAACACAGCAGGAACAGGACCACCAAGTCCAGCAGTCAATGTTACCACCAAAAAGCCTCGTAAGTAACTTTTTTTTCTTTTTAAATAGATTAAGCTTCGAAGTTTAAGGGTAGTAACACTTCTTGTATTAGATCACTGTTTTAAAGTTTCTATGTCTTCATCCAGCCCCCAGCCAGCCGCCCTCAAAAGTCATGTGGAATGCATCAAACTCTAAAATCATTCTCAACTGGGAACAGGTGAAACCTCTGGAAAATGAATCCGAGGTCATGGGATACAAGGTAAGCCAGATCTTCTTGCACAACTTTGTCTGCTGTTTAGCCTGCCTAACGACTCTCTTTAGCCATAAATACATTCACAATATGACACAGCACCTTATTGCTCAATGATTAAACAGCTTTCAGTGCTTTAGCGCCACCAAATGCTCTGATAAGTGTATGACAATGACTCAAACATCTATCATGTCACAAAGCATCTATTGGTTGGCTTATACTGTTTTAGTGGAATTTCATTGCAAACAATCCTGGTATAAAAGCTATTATATTAAATATTTGCAAGCTGGTGTAAAAAACCTTTTTTGCTTATAACTAGAGTTCAAAATATTTTAAATTGAGTGATTCGGACTGATTGCCCATCAGCTCCTATGCTACACTCTTAAAAATAAAGGTGCTTGAAAGGTTCTTCACAGTGATGCCATAGAAGAACCATTTTTTGTTCCACAAAGAAGCATTCAGTCAAAGGTTCCATCTCTTTCTTACCTTTTTATAATCTGAAGAACCTTCTTTCGCCACAAAGAACCTTTTGTGAAACAGAAAGGTTCTTCAGATTTTAAAGGTTCTTTATGGAACCAAAAAGGTTGTTCTATGGCATCGTGAAGCACCTTTATTTTTAAGAGTGTATCTACATTTCCATATCGCATATAACAAGTGGAACGATGTAAATTGAGGTAATTGTTTAAAATTGTAATTGTGTTGTAGGTACTGTATAAGCGGAACCAATTCAGCAGGCCCAGCATTATGGAGACCAACACCACCTCAGTGGAGCTCTCGCTGCCCATGGATGAGGAGTACATCATCCAGATCAGACCTTTTGGAGAAGGAGGGGAAGGCAGCAGCAGCCGGCAGATCACCATTCCCAAAATAGCAGGTAGATCATCCTCTGCTAACTGACTTATTTTTAATTCCATTTAGATTTTAGACTATATTTTATTTAAGAAGGAAATGGTTTAAGCTTACAATTTTAGAAATAGAATGCATTATAAATAAATATAATATTTAAGAGATGATGTACAATCAGCCGGTCATTATCACATAATTAAATTCAACAGGGCGATCAGAATTGAATTAGCCTGAAGGGATTTATTTTGCGCTAATAACTGGCTGACTGTACATTATCCTGAAGATTACATTACTGCTCATCAAATAAATTAATGAATGGACATGAAATATTAATTAAGTGATTTTATTATGCGAGCAGAAATATATGAATATGAATTTTCAACATCATTACTCCATTCTTTAGTGTCACATGATCCTTCAGAACTCATTCTAATATGCTGATTTTATGCTTAAGAAACATTTATTCTTACTATTATTTATCAATGTTGAAAACACTTGTGCAGCTTAATAAATCTGTGGAAACTGCGATGCTTTTTTTCATTTGATGAATAGAACGTTTTTTTATTGCAATGAAGATGTCTTTACTGCCACTTATTATCAATTTAATGTGTCATGCTGAATAATAAATCTTAGTTATAATATAATATAATACAATATATAATTTGAGCTCCTACAAATTGTTCCTCTGAAACTCTTCACCTTTAAAACTCCAACAATTGAAGCATCACTGAGTTCTTGACTGTGATGTTAAGCCGTGTGCTTGTTTATTTTAGCACTGCACCATTTTGTCTTCATTTCATTCATTTGCCGATTCATTCTCTTTCAGGTCCCAATGCCATCGGCTCGGCTTCCAGTGTGTCCACTCTCTCTGCTCTCAGTACAATAGCTCTCTCCCTCACAGCTCGCACATCTTTATGACAGAACACAGCGCAGGCCGCTGACTTCAGACGAAACGTTCTTCCTCGAGAGGAGACTGAGAAAAGTGACTCAGACAGATCGATGAAAACCCATTCATACAAACCAGAGGACCTACGTGAACCATAATACTGGGATAAAAAGAAAAGAAAAGAAAAAAACGGGTGTGTGGTTCGCTAGCCAATTCGAAAAAGATTGAAGGCTGATGGGATTGAATTTGATGTTACCAAAGCAGCTTTAAAGAAAAAAAAAAAGAACAAAAAAAATGAGGAAAATGTCACATGCTTCTTTTGTATGTATGACATATCTTAGCTTTTTCCTTTTTTGTTTGATCCAGTCGGTCTGTATGTTCCTATTACAGTACGCCGGGTGTGTATAGGAACTGCTTTAGATGCATGTCTTGTACAATGTTTTGTAAGAGAATGCAGGTGTCTGAAACTTAATAGTTTAGAGCAAGACATATTTGGCTGAAAACCAACTAATCATCACAATATGACGGTCCTCTGAGGGTCACACGCACTTACAAGCTAAGAATCTCCAAGGACTTCTTACTGTTTATGACATGGGAATACTTGCACTGAAACCACATCTGGAAGAAAGTGAACAACGACAGAAAGCATCCTGACCAGAAACTCGAGAGAATGCTGCTACAAGGCCAAGTCGGACGTTGGCGTCTTTGTCACCTCCCTCCTTACTGATCAGCAGCAAACGGACACCAGGCGTTGACATTGACCATCTCTTTTTTCCATCATCTTCCATTTATCTGTGTGTGTGTCGTATCTAGAGCTCTTCTTTGCCTTTTTTGTGCCTCATTGTGTTTTTGAAATCCTCAGGTCCTCAGAAAAGCCTTAATACATATTTCTTCGCGTTAACTACTTAGAAAAGTGCTGGACGCCTGGGCTGTGAACGGTTAGTCAAGCAGGATGCTGGGGTTTGGGTAGCTGGTGCAAGTTTATTGCTTCCATGTTCCATATTATAACAGCCATATGCTGTTCCTCATTGTTTCAAGGCAATACAGTGTGTGTGTGTGTGTGTGTGTGTGTGTGTGTGTGCGTCTGCGTGTGTGACCTCTGCTAATGTAGGGGCTACGAGCTCTGCATTTTTTTAAATGCCATGTGGGAATGGTGCGATGAAAGTAGCTTGTCATTTCTTGAGGTGCAAATAGATGTACTGCTTAAAGGGACACGTGGAGCTCTGAGACTGAGTGAAAACAAATGTATATGTAAATGCTTTTTTGTATATTCCAGATAATTTATATTTAAGTGGACGACATCAAAGTTTCCTACAAAACTCATCTCGGTTTTTATCTAACAAACAGAATAGACGTTTCTTAGCTTACCGTGGCTCTGCATGTGGATGTTTTCATTCCATTCTTGATTCATTAGGTACTAACCGATGAACATTTGACGAAAGGATACAAATAGTCATTCATCCATTTCTGAAGATTTGTGTATCGGTGTATCTGTCATAGCCAGGACGCTCTTTCTCTAAGCAGTGCTTTCCACCAAACTTCTTTGTCTTTATCGGAACTCCATTTATTGGACCGTATAACTTTTTCCTCCAAGGTTCTCTGTTTATACTGGATCACAAAATAAATGACATTTATAAAAATTATCACACAAATGTTTTGATTGGGTGCATTAGCTGTGGTTATGAGATGCTTAATAACAGTTTAACCAATAGGCCTACTTTTGTCATTTGCGCACCCTCACATCATTCCAAACCTATATGACTCTTGTGTATCTTCACAAAGAACAAGGAAAGCTCATTAAAAGGTATCCATATTACTTGTGCGCTATGGGCTAAATCTTTTGAAGCTTTCTATGAGAAATAGACCGAAAGGCCAAACAGTTATTTGAGTATAGCAATGGTTAACCCAAATATGAATGTTGTCGTTCACTCACGCTCATGTCGTTCCAAACCGGTATAAAAAAAATTAAATTTCTGTGGAACAAAAAGAAGATATTTTGATGGTTGCTCTTTTTTTTGGTTTGGAACAGTGTGAGAATGAGTAAATGACAGAGGTTTTATGCTGGACAAATTGTTGCTTTAAAACTTATTTTCATTTCCATATGCACAAACAATGTACACTAAATAATGATCGGCTTTTTGAACTTTTGGAAACTCAATTGCACCTCAAAGCAAGAAAAAAGAGTTTTAATAATAGTCATTTTGATAAAGTCAGTAGCAGCCATGTTTTGAGTTATGAGGTCACAATTGGGAGATATAAGTCTTCTGTTTTTCTCTGTAACCATTTACAAATTGGCAAGTGTATGATGATGAAATCTGTGTAAAAACAAATGCCCAAGCAAATTAGAAATTTCAAAACTGATAATATTACAGGTTGATTTGAAAGCACATGATGATGTCATGCAGTTGTGCTGCCGTACACTAGAAGGTTTCTAGTGTAATTACTATCCTAAGATAGGAACATTTACAGACAAAATAATTTATAATCACATCAATAAATACAGTATGATCCCAAAAATATGAAAGCACTTGTCATTTCTTGAATACAACGCTGACCAGTGTTCAGATTGAGAAGACAGTGCAAAAAAAAAATATATATATATATATATATATAGATTTTACATTATATATTATTAGTCAGGAACAGACTACAGTAGACATTTTATGTCATAAAATGATGTTGAAGGAAACATTTCCAGTTGATATTTTGGTCGATCACTATCCTGATTATTCAATGTCAGCTGTGTCGCAGCCAGTGTTGGGGAGTAACTAGTTACATGTAACGGAATTACGTAATTTAATTACAAAATAAAAGTAATTGTAATCAGTTACAGTTACTAGTTAAATTACAGTTACTTATGAAAATGTTAAGGATTACAAAGGGGGTTACATCTGATTTTTTTCACACACACTCCCACATACAGATTTAATTGAGTTCTTTCATAAATTGCAGTGACTGCTCTAAAATATGAAACACCAATGTTTCAGAAGTTTATAACATGCTTATCCGATAGGGTTCATAATATGCTTTATTTTTTTAAGATTGACAATTTTTTTTCTAAGGCATTGTTAGATTCCAGTGTTTCCTGTCATAGCTATGCAAAGATTTGATTTCAAAAACAGTATCATAGCTATTAAACTATTTCTTATGATTTTAAATATGTATTTAACCACAGAATGATTTTAAAGTAAGTCTGATTTTGTGGTGGCTGTGCTTCAAAGGGGACATCGGATAACCATTTTCCACAAATTGGTATGATTCTTTAGGGTATTCTTGAAATGGTCTCAGTGGTCGTGTAAAACAACACCCTTTTTATCTTGTCAAAAACTGCTCTCTTCACAGCGACTTGTTTTGGTGCATATCTCTTTACATGCTAATGCGCTTTGCTCACCCCGCCCCTCTCGTCTGTGGAAGAGCAAACACGATTTGCAAATAATCATAAAAAATAAAAAGTGTGTTGGCACCGATAGCCTTGTGGGCAGTGCGCTGACATATAATGCCATTGTGCATTGGATGTCCCATGTTTGAATCCTGACTCGAGGACCTTCCTGATCCTGCCCCCCTCCTCTCTTTCTCCCACTTCACTTTCTGTCATGTCTGATCTGTCCTATCACAATAAAGGAAGGTCATAAATAACCTTAAGTAAATAAATAACACCATAAATAAATAAAAAGTGTGAGACTTACTTTCTGGAGGTGCAGCTGGATCATGAACAATGGGTACTGATCCATCCTTGAGATTTAACTTTTTAACAAAACCTGCCTTGAATTGTCCCTCATTCAGAAAGCAGTCTGGAGTAAAATGATTTGAGCAGCCAGACATAAACGAATTTAGTGACATGAATTTGGTGACCCATACTCGGAATTTGTGCGCTGCATTTAACCCATCCAAAGTGCACACACACAGCAGTGAACACACACACACACCGTAAACACACACCAACAAAGTTGGGGGTTTGGTGCCTTGCTCAAGGGTCTCACCTCAGTCGTGGTATTGAAGGTAGAAGAGAGTGCTGGTATTCACTCCAAAATCAAAATGACTTGATAATTGAGACTTTAGGTTTTTGGGGGATTAAAAAAAAAGGAGTGCATTTTTATCATTGCAAGGTGGTTGTGTCCACACACTGCTAAGACACACTTATATGCAAATGAAGATATTTTGCATCCAATGTCTCCTTTAAAAGGAAAATATTATCATCTTAATTCAAGTGATGAAGGATTTAGAAAGTCTTGACAGTTATCAGTGTTGAGCACATATTGTAAGTTTAACCCTGCCTGGTTTACATGTTTGAAAATGATTAACAGTTGAAATCATTAGACATTTAGAAAAGTAATCAAATGTAATCAGTTACACTACTTTAATAAAGTAATTGAAAAGTTACACTACTTATTACATTTTAAGTAGGGTAACTTGTAATCTGTAACCTATTACATTTCCAAAGTAACCTTCCCAACACTGGTCGCAGCAGAGTATGAAAGGTCTCGGCTAGAGCTGAAACGATTAGTCGACATTACCGACAACGTCGACAATAAAAAATTGTCGACAAATATTTTTGTTGTCGAGTAGTTGTTTGATCTCATATGATATCTTACATATATAATGTAAGCGCCTGCAATAACTGCAATTCAAGAGAAGACAGCGCTTCAAAGCAAACGCAGCCGAACCTGAAGCTGCTGAGCGACGTTTGGATGAATATGTAAATATATACTGCACACTTTACTCTCAATAACAAAATAAACACATCAAAAACTGACAGCGGTGAGAAAGCAGCAGTTCAAAATGCATCTGATTACAGCAATGTGGATGTTTGCACGAGCTCTGCAGTTCAGTACTCCAGTAAAGTCCAGTCACGTCGCGTTACGTTTATTTATATAGTACTTTATGCAATAGATAGCCTTAAATCAAGCAGCTTTACAGTATTAAACATGAAAAACCAGAGGCAGTATCGCGTTCAGTTAGAATTACAACTGTATGTGTTGTAAAGTGGAGCTAGCTAATGATAAAATCTTTTTATTAGTGGGGGAAAAAACATTTCATTAAAGTTATAGTTTGGTTTGCAGAGATCAAAGCTTGATCTAGCACAGGACTGTTTTGATTTTCATAACCCTATAAGGTATTTTAAGAGAGATTATGTTGTGAATAAAAGTTTATCCAAAAATATAACGTCTTATCACTTAACCTTTATTTTGTTTTATACTTTTTTTTAATACACAATTTATTTGTTAGAATATGTATAACTCAATATTTTAACAAATTGCAAAAGCTGAATAATCAATAAATGTCGAAATAATCTATGATTAGTTGATTAATCGTTGTTGCAGCCCTAGTCTCGGCCCTCCGTGACGATTAAAAACAGCTTAAGCAAACGTGGCCTTTGGGCATCTTTTCAAAAGGACTCCGTCATCGAGTTCACCTTCAGCCAGAGTTGGTCTGCGGGGAGACGCTGTGTTTAATACATTGACAGCAATAACAGAGATGATGTATGAGCATATAATAAAAAGCTAATTGGGAGCATCTGGGGCCAAAAGGAAGAATTCCTGAAGAGACCGTGAAGCAGCTGTTTAAGATGGAGTCATAATAGAGATAAATGGAGTTCCACTGGATGATTTACTCTCCTGTTGATGCTGGAGGTGACTGACGGCTGCTATTCACTCCCCGTCTTCCTCCCCGACCTCCATCTGCTCCAAGATTTTCTCTAACACCTCCGCCTTCCTCCACTTCTTAGGAGAATCTGAGAGAGTTGATGAGAGGACAGATTTGTGCACAGATTTGTTTTAATTAAATTAAACGAGGGGAATGACTAGAATTGCAACCAGTGTTTGGGAAACTATTTCAAATTAGGAGTAGCTTGTGCTTTGGCAAGCTGCAGTTTCCAAGCAGTTAAGCAACAGTCAAACTACAATTTGGAAAAAGTATAGAAAAAGTTAGCTTAATTGTTGTTTTAAATTTTGTCAGACTATTTAAGGGGGGGATCTTTATATATAAAATGCTAAATAAATCAATACTGATTTTGAAAGTATTTATCTGGCACTAAAATTATGAATAGACTATAAATAAAATCAGGCATTGGTTTAATTGACAAATAATAAAGTGAAGGGCTGTAACAAATGACTATGACAATTTAGTCAATTATTTATTTGATTATTCGTTTAAAAAAAAAACTCAAATTTCTGGAAGCGACAGGACTAAATTAAACAGTCACTAAATTATACAAAAAATTAAGTTAAAGAACAAAACCACATAATATTTGTTAATATTTACAGATAAGTATTTATATAAATATTATAAATATAACTACAGATAATAAGGGCTATATAGAACATTTACATATAGAACAATTTCAGCAATTTATAGTAATTTTCAGTAATAGTTTTATAAAATAAAACTAATTTATTAAGATGAGTTGAAAACAGGGATTAAACAGTAGAATTTGGGGAAAAAAGAAAGGCCCACATGGGAATTCTGGGAAAACTACTTTTAAAAAATACTGTAGGATAACTATTGAAAAACAGTGAATAACAAGTAATTAGCTCATCTGTTTTATGAAGCAGCCAGTTCATTGAAATCACCCATCTAACAAACTGATTCATTAAAGTACCAGAAAACTGTAACCTGTTTCATACCGCAATGCTACCAAAAATAGCTAGTTATTGAGAAAACTTGAGCACCAAATCAGCATATTAAAATTATTTCTGAAGGCTGGGGTAATGGCTGCTGAAAATTTTGCTTTGCACACCACATTACATTTTTACATTTAAGAGAGAAAAAGGTCATTTTAAAAAATTACCTTTTTCTGTATTTTTTTTTCTTTTTGAAAAGATCTGAGCAATTGTCTGGCTACTCTACTTCAAATCAGGTTAATGTGGCAAATTTTTTAAAGTTCCTTATCAAAACTGATTGCAACTGTCTATGCTAAATAACGGTGACATAAAGCAGAGATTTTACCATGAAAG